TAAATTAAAAGTTCATAAAATAAAGTGTATCTGTGGTTCTGACCTTCTTTTAAATTTAGTAATATGAGATTTTCCTTCCCATCTTTGGAGGAGGGGGTTGGAGGGTTGTTACTACATATCTAGGACATGATTGATTCTCCCCACCCATCTCAGCAGTGCAGCTGAGCACACTTGTTGATAAACTGGTGTTGCCTCGTCTGCACTCCTTCTCAGCCTGGAGATTCAATGGCACATGGGATTGCTGTGTCCAGGGGTAAGCCTGCATGTTGTCCAGCATCAGGGCAAAGCCAAAGTGGAGAAGTCCCTCCATCAAGCCTGAGCTACTACTGTATTGGTTTGTTGATTCTCTTCATTTGTAACTTTGCTTCTTAGCTCTCATTCAAAGAGGCAATCAGAAAAGTCTGGGACCCCACATTCCTAGGAAAGTCCTAGGACAGATTTGGGAGAAAAGAATGGAAGGTCTCTGTGCTGCCTCAGGAGGCAGAAGGACCACAGTTGCACAATTGTATACCAGAACATGGCATCACAAAGATGCCCATGCCCCAGGTTCAGGGCACAGAGCCCTCATGAGGGCTCAAAAGAGTGACAGACGTGAAGACAGGACCAAAGGCTGTGTGAAACAGTCAACAGGGACTAGAGGAGATAAAGGAGGACTTGGTGCATGTCTGTAGGAATAAATGTCTAGAAAACAAAGGTGCAACCCCACTTATCACCTGTTTTAGCAATAATAAACTGCCTCTGAAAGTTAAACACCCCCAAAGTGGGGCAAGGCAAACCAGAGTTCAATGAAATTAAGTTTCCACCAACTTTACAATAAAAAGGAAATAAGTTGGATAAGGAAGAGTAAAAAGAGTTTTTCTGATACCCTAGTTTGTGTACAGATTCCTAACTATACCTGTGTAACCATAAACAATTTGTGGGATTTGTGGGAAGGACTCATAGAAACTGTTATACCAGTTGCCTGTGGAGAAAAAGAATACAGGTCATGTGTAAAGAAAAGGCCTATTTGGGGTCTGGGGATGTGGCTCAGTGGCAGAGCACTTGTCTAGCATGTGTGAGGCCCTGGGTTCCATTCTCGGCACCATGTATCAACAAATAAAATTAAGGTCCATTGACAAGTAAAATATCTATCTATCTATCTATCTATCTATCTATCTATCTATCTATCTATCTATCTATTTAAAGGCCCATTTTTATTGTTTATACTTTTGTATTAATTAACTTTTCACCAAGTAAAATTACTAAGTTTTAAATTAATTCAAATAGTTGAGTAGACAGTACATTCAATACAGCATTGATATAAAATTTTTTTTTCTTGGTTCTATCCCAACTGCCATCAAACACTTGGAAGAGTAACTTAGCTATTATCTTTGTTCACAGTAAAAGTTTTATCATTTTATGTTCTTTGTCTTTTATGTAGTCATTTGTACATGAGATAACAAACTTGGATATTAAAGAGATTACATGAAGTAAAAGGAAAATTGATTTCCTGAAGTGAGGTTAATTGAAGTAAATGAGTAGTGAATAATTCTACTTTTAAACTGACCTACCCCTCCAACACAGTATAATAAGCATAACTTTCTTTGCTTTCTTTCTTTCTTTTCTGTATTGAGAATTGGACACAAGAGCATGTTACCAAGCCACCTTCCCAGCTCCCCAACCCCTTTTTAAAAATTTTGAGGCAGGGTTTCACTAAGTGACCCAGGATGGCCTTGAACTTGCAATCCTTCTGCCTCAGCCTCCTGGATCACTGAGATTACAGGTGTGTGCCACCATACCTGGCTAACTTTAGCTTCTTAATTTCTCCTTTTACTTGTCCATAAAAATTACAAATTGAATGATGCATATGAAACTTTTAGAACCTCACAGGAGAAACATGCTCATATAAGCAGGACATTTTCTTTAGCATTTTCACATTTATTTGGTGATGCAGTTAGTCATGGCAATTTGGCCCCAAGCAGTACACCTAGTACTTGTTGCTTCTATCTAGTGGTGTGTGGCAGGGCCTAGACACAGAGTTGGCAGTAAGGATTCTCTTTCCACACTGCCACAAAGCTTCAGTATGTTTCTGATTCTTTTGTGAGATAAAGAGAATCAAAGATAATCTTATAAGCGACAAAAATCTTCTGACAAAGTATGTACTAAGAAAACAGACTTCAAGAGAGTGAAAACTACTGGAATGTTCTAAAATAAAGTGGGACTTTGCTGCTTTATTGCAAATATTTAACTGGTATAAATGATTTTACTGGGTACTGGTTTGTGACCTTAGGGAGTTTATGTTTATTTTTAAGAAGTTCAAGTTAAGAAGTAGAGAATTTTTCCTGGGTAAAAAGTGGTGCTTAGACATATTTTTTCCCCTTTTCTTAACAAAGATCTCAATTTAAGAAATTTATACTTAGGATGTATTCATAAAGTAGCATTCTGTCGACAGATTGTTTCCTTAAATGGCACATAAAAGACCCTCTTTTTTTCCTTTCTCTATGGTTCCACTATAATGTTATTTTCGTTGATATAGGTCTCTTAGTTTATGTAATATAGATATATTTGATTTAATGTTTGTTTTTCATGCAAATGCAATGAAGGAAGACTTGGAGGTCAAATAAATTAGATTAAGACTATTTTTTTTAAAAATGATTCTCTTAAAAAAAATTCATGTTGGGATTTAGAAGAGGTAAATAGTCCATTGTGCAAATACATCACAGGAGGAAGAATCTGGGGAGGGAGGGAGAGGGAAGGAATGAGGTAGAAAGGAATATAAAGAGGAAGCAAAGAAGAGAAAGAGAAGAAGGGGCCAAGGGAGAGGAAGAGTGGGAGGGAGGGACTAACACTGAGTATGACCACGTCCCAGGCATTTGGCCCAAATCTTTGCACATGCATCCATGTTCAAAACAAAGCTGTAAGGACAGTATTTGCCCTATTTTTACTGTAAGGAAATGGAGCTTAGCAAGGGAAAATGGCTTTTCACTTCTCAGTGAACCTAGTTAGCAAGCACCTTCCTCAGGAATCAAACCAGAATGACCTGATCTCAGAGCCTCTGCCACCTTTTGGTCAACAAAGTCGTCTCTCAAATAATGAGGGTGTTACTGTTTCTCTTTTTAATCTCCAAAAGGCTAAGTGAAGGAGACTGTGGGCAATAGGGATAAAGCAAATTAATCTAAAGCATATTTGATAGAAGACAGAAGCAGTTGGCTTCTTAAGGTTAAAAAAAAAAGATTTTTTTTAAAAAACTAAAGTAGGAAAAACCATAACTTAAGTAAAAGGGACATAAAATCTATAATTCTTGCCAAGAAAGCACATATCAGATCAGTCATGAAAATGGGTGAAGCAAAATCAATCACATTTTATTGATTTAAAAAACAACAGAATTTTAACAACATAAAAGTCACATTTTATATTTGTCAAGAAAACTCATTGAAGACCATGAATTAGTGTGACAGAAATGAACTTGCCTTGAAAGAAACAAATCATTTGATAACATCTATATTAATATAATATAAAAAAGCCAAATGTCAGGAGAAGTAGAGAATTTTTCCTGGGTAAAAAGTGGTGCTTAGACATATTTTTTTCCCTTTTCTTAACAAAGATCTCAATTTATTTTAAGAAATTTATACTTAGGATGTATTCATAAAGCAGCGTTCTGTTGACAGATTGTTTCCTTAAATGGCACATAAATTATGAGACTTTATGACTCTGTCTAGTCTAATAATAGTTTGTTCTATATTTACACTATCTAGACATATATTTCTTTCTAGAGAAAACAAAGAAGTGCCTTGCCTAGTTTTAAGTCCCAACACTCTCTATCTATATGTCATCTTCTACTCTCAATTCAGGGGCCTCTGTCCCCAAAAACCTTCCACCGGTATCACCTTTCCTTTTTTGGAATTTTACATACATTATTTATACCCCTCTATCACATTTGATTTCCTTTAAATATATATATATATATATTTTTTTTTTTTTTGTAGATGGACACAATACCTTTATTTTATTTATTTATTTTTATGTGATGCTGAGGATCGAACCCAGGGCCTCACACATGCTGGGCAAGTGCTCTACCACTGAGCTATAGTCCTAGCCCTTACATTTGATTTTTACCCTAGATTATAAACTTTAAAAAATGTCTTTCTAGTGTCTCCTCTACAAATTATTAGCTAGTGGAGAGAACTGTATCCTTTTTTAATTTGATGTAAATAGTTTCTACTAAGTATTTGTTAAAATAAGTGAAAATAAACAAAAACAGGCATGAATACCATATGCTAACGTTCAAGCATAAAATGGTAATTCTCTGCCTAGTCTCAAGTATTGCTGGATTTCCAATAGTAACTTGAAAGTTTACATTAGAATTCTCCAACTCTTCACTGTCCATACAGCAGCATAGAGTATCACAGAAAACCCAAATCCAGATGGTCTTTGAAATTATAGAGAATGATTGTAGTTCTGGCTTGACAGACTTAGTCTTCCAAAGTCAGCGAAAATTCGACAAATTGCCAACAAAGTCAGGCATTAATTTATGTAGGCAACAGTTTTTAATGACTGAGTTTGAATTCATTATTTCTTTGTCTTCAAAAGCCCAGGGAGTTTCCACTTTTTAAAACAGTCTTCTAAAGAAACACTGGAGAATAAGTAATGAGGTGACCCAATAACTTAGAAACTATTTGGAAGTTTGAATCAAATCATTTGTCATTTTAGACAAAAGGTTTCCTTGATTATTTGCCATCAATGTAATCATTAGACACATTAAGCACAATGTTAGTTATGTAAAGATCTTGTAAAAATAAAAAATATATAATCACATCCATGATTTAAGAGGCACCTAGATCCAGTTCTGAATGAAGTCAAGAAATAGGCATTGTGTACAGTCAACATTAAGCCCATTCCATAGCTTAACAATTCTCACCGATGCCTTATCACTAAAGAGCAATTTACTTTTAAGTTAACTGCTCCTTAAGGAGCATCATTTTTTGCAATAAACCAAAATGAGGCATATTCCTGTAACTCACCATATATTTGGATTTAATTCCAGTTGGTGGTAGGAGTCAAAGTCATCTCGTAGAATAATGCTGTCACTATGTATTTCAGCTAAAAGAAAAGAAAAATATTTAGAAAATAATTATACTGCAGCAATAAATTTAGCTAAATAAAAGTGTCAACATTGTACATTTGTGAAGAATAATGGTATTTTGTATTAAAATTGAATTTCAAACCAGCACTTAATTGCATTTGCTTTGTCCCTAAAGTAGTAAGAGACAAGGGTAAAGGCTTTGCTGCTTAGACCTCCCCAAGTCTGGAACTCAAAGCCTCCAGAAAGGAACCTCCCAAACTGTGCAGGCAGGAGGAGGTAGGAAGGCCAAGGTTTGTACCAGCCTATGAGGAGAGGCCACACAGGACCCGTCTCATGACTTGACACAAACTCATCCAAGTCTTCCAAGAGACTACCCACGTAGATCCGTCTATACCTCACTTTAAAACATGAAAGGCGATGGAATGTTCTGGCTATTTATTGTCAGCTAAAATATTGTTGTATTTACTGATCCACTTTCTCTTCTCCTTCGTACTATCCCTCTTGCCCTTGCTTTCTCGTTGCTCACATTTACTCAAGTTTTATTTAGTGTGCTTCAGATTGTTAACATTTCCCCCATCAGAAATGCATAGGAGAAATTAATTACATGAATAAGTAAAATTCCCAAATAACATTAATTTAAAAGGCAGGAGAATGCCAGGGAACCATAAATAGTTTTAAGTACATTATTACTACCCTAGAGATTGTGTTAAATACCCACTTTTGAGCTTACGGCTCTTGTGTATGTCAAGATCAAAGAATGTTTTCATAAATTGTAGAGTACACATCTCACTGAAAAGAGAGGGTGAGGCAAAAACAATAAAGAAACAACAACAACAAAACAATGTCATGGCCAGCTCCAGTGTTAAGTGTGATCAAGGTGCAAAAACTTAGTGCTTTAACAATGCTCTCATCTGATTCCCATGATTTGTTTAAGAATTTTGCTTCAGTTAATACAAGTACTCCAGGTCTTTATAATTTTGTTTGAACTAGTTAACAGATGCCTTTTGGAAAAATTAAAAATCATTATCGCCTGATTAACAACAATAACAACAACAACAAAAAAAACTCCCATAATTTTCACTGTCTTCCAAGGTAATGTCTTCTGTTTCATGGGGCTGGGGGAGGAGGGTTGTTCAGATGTAATTCTCTGAACTCACTGGGCAGCTCAAGTCTCTTCCAGATATCAGAAAGCATACTTTCAAATTCTCTCTGGTGACAGCCCCACCTGTGGCAGTCCCTGCCCCCTATGCCAGCTATGCCAGCAGGCAGGCACATAATGAAGTCCCAGAGACCAGTGAGTCAGCTACCGAGATCACTGATTCTCAGGCTGGAAGCCTCAGGCACGAGAACAGGAGGGATGTGGACATACACTGGAGAGGGTGCTTTGATAGACTCCCATGTGTCGGGGTGGTTTAATGATTCCTTTGAGCCATTAGATGCTGGGCCTAAAATGCCCACAGGGTTCAGCTTCTCAGATTCCCAACCTGGCCAGCACTCGACTGCGCCACTGCAGGTCACCAGCCTGTCTTGGGTCTCCGCTACCAGAAGGCATGCTTCTAAGCACTTACATGCATCTGCCAAATAAGAGGAGCCCCAAGCTGTAGCATTACATAAAAGTAGAGCTACTCAAGGCAGGCGTTCCAAAGAGAAAAATAAATTAATTGGGTTTATAGGTTGAAAGGAAAAGCCCCAGAGACAAATAGCTGACCTGTCTGGAAGGCCTACAGTGGAGACATCTGAAAAGTCTGACCTAGCTAGGATGGTTTCTTTTCATGCTTGTTAAATTGTATAGTGTAGGAAATTTGCTTTTAAAATAAGTCCTCACTGATGAATTTCAAAAGAAAAAAATTAACTCTTACTCACTTGTTTTCTAGAGACCTTATAAAGGCAATAGTAAGCCTTGATAGGTCTTGCTTCATATATTTATTTATTTCCATATAATACTGCATCATTTTACTACACAATTTATACATGCATTTAATGTTCCTATCAACCTTATGAGGTAGGTACTATTATGAATTCCATTGTACAGATGGGAAACTGAGGCACAGAGGGGCTGAGTAACTTTGATGCTAATGGTTAACAAGTGGAGAAAGGAGATAAACCCAGTTTGTTTCCAGAATCTATTGTGTGTGTGTGTGTGTGTGTGTGTGTGTGTGTGTATGTGTGTGTCTGGGATTGAACCCAGAGTCTCACATCCCCTATATAAGTGCTCTACCCCTGAGACACACTCCCAGCCTTAGAATCTGTAATTCTTCTTTTTTTTAGTCCTGGGGATAGAATTCAGGGTACTTAACCACTGAGCCACATCCCGAGCACTTTTTATATTTTATTTTGAGACAGTACCTCGCTAAGTTGCTGAGGCTGGCTGTGAACTCGTAAGCCTCTTTCCTCAGTCTCCTGAGCCGCTGGGTAGAATCTGTACTTCTAACGACCGTACAACCTCATGCTGAAAACTTTGAGCCACTGGGTCAGGATACTATGAAAGCATTGGTAGCATTTTAAAAAAGTAGATAGTACTTAAACAGCTTTCTTTTCATTTTTGAAGAAAGGACCAAATTATTTCTCTTTTTCAACCTACTTCTTTGAGTAGAGATCTCACATCAGAAATGACATCAGCTTCTCCACCTCTGTTGCTCTTTGCCCACTGACTCCATGCTCTAGTTTTTCTGATGGGTGGGAGCTCTTTGGAAAATCTGTCACTCAAACACCCAGCTAAAAGTTGACACTGAACAGAAACAGAAGAGAGTGAGGGGACTAGCAGATAAAAAAGTTCCTGTGTGAACTGGCAACTGGGCAGCATGATCACTGCCTCGGGGAGGTTCTGGTTTCAGGCACAGCTGGGACCTGAGTCAAATTTCAGTGGATGATCAGTGAATCAGGAAGGGCTAAGAGTTTCTCACCTCTGTAACACCTGCCCACATAACCAGAAGAGACAAGCAAGCAGATCAAATAATAAGGTTAATGACACCAGAGTCTTAAACACTTACCTAGATGTGGGTGTGTAGTGGCCTCTGTTGGAGCTGGACCAAGAGAGGAAAAGAAAAAGATGACTGATTAGCCACAAGAGCAAAATACAGCAATGAACAATCACAAATGCCATTATAAAACTTAACAAATCAAAGTCTAGAGACTTTTTGATGTGTTTAGGAATAAAAATAAATAAATAAGATGGACATCTCTCTAGTTATTACATCTAAAAATAATAGATTCCTCCTAGAATAAAGATAGAACCCTTTTTGCACAGGACAGTCATTTATTATATGGGCTTCATCAGGTACCCTTGAAGCACACAATATATATGATGTGATAGTTAATGGACAGGTCAAAACGTTTTCTGAGCACCTATTCCATACGAGGACTCTGCCAGGCATCCGGGAAATGTAAACAGAAGTATCATCCTGGCCCTCAAAGAGCTCACTGCCTGGTGGGGACAAGTGTAGTAGGGTGTAATAAGCGTTATGATAGTGTTGGGGGGGGGGTTGCTAGGGCGGGGAGAGGGGAAGAGGGAGGGATGTCACACCCAGGAGGATGGGGAGAAGAGGAGCATCAAGAGAGGGTTCCAGAGAAGATAGTTTCTCTGCTGAGTTTTGAAAGACTAGCAGGAGGAAGACAGGAGGTGCCAAGGAAGACAGGAGGTGCCAAGGGAACTGCTGCTTTCTGGAATAAGAGTAGAAAGCCATGGAGAAGTAAGAGAGGAGGGCCAGGTGGGGTAACCCTGAGTTCAGTATGATTGAATGACTGCTTGAGCAGGTTAGATAAGATAAAATGGGAAATACTGGGAGGACAAGATCATGCAATTAAATGTTAAGAATTTTGGACTTAACCAGAAACACATGATGATCTCCGGAACATTCTATGATTAAAAGATGGCAGGTTCAAATATGCATGTGAAGAAAGGGCACTGTGGAAGAGTATGGAGATGCAGAACACTACCCAAGTTAGACTTTGCTCATTTATTTTCCTCAAAGGAGAAACTTAAATTCACTACAACAATTTACTACATCAATTCACCATGAAGAAACATCAATTCACTACTTAAAAATTATAATTCACAATGTAGACATTTTTAAAACTTTCTGTCAAAAAAGAAGTTCAGCTAGATAGGAAGAAATTAGTTTAACACAAAGGGCAGTATTTCAGTTATGTTAGATTAAAAAATCCACTGTTATATATAAATAAAAAATAAAATTAAATTAATGTGGAAAAAATCCAAACATCACAGCATTTTAAAACAAGAGATCCATGTATATATTACTGCTTCATGTCTTATTGCACATTGAAAAAAATTGCACTCAGTTTTTTGAAGCAGATTCTATAGAAAGTATGAGTATAGTTGTTTTTAGATGTGGTCTTCTAAAAAAATGAACAAATTTTGTCAAATTTTCTGAATAGTAATACAGAAATCTTGAAAAACACAAAAGCTATTCTTGTGTTTTGTGCTAATGTTTATTGACTAAGTTGTAGGATAATTTCACAAAGATTCACTCTATTTTGAAGGTGTTCTTGAAACAAAAGAAACTCTTCAACTACACAACAAAGACAAAAACATGACATAATGATATATGTTCTCTCACCAACATCAGCACAGAATATGAACAAGCTAAGCTGGAATCTTCTAGGAGAGTGAGAGCTTATTTGCAAGCTAACAGGATAAGTAAGGGAATTTGTGTTGAAACTTAACTTCTACAACACAAATTTTTAATGATTTAATGATTTCCTAACATTTAAGATTCCTAACATGAATCTGTAAGGAAAATAAAAGGAGACACAGAGACAAGATGCAGAGGCAGGAAAGATGGCAGAGAGGCCAGGCTGCCAGCTTTATTTATGTCAATAGGTTACTTTAGGTCATTGGCATCATTAGTACATATTGTTCATTGTATTATTAGGCAGGTTACAGACTTAGCAACATTATGGAGCTTATTCCTCAGTTACGTACTAAGTTGCAATGTGCAATGTTAGGAGCTTTGTGTAGCTCTCAAGAAAGTCCATCATATAAAGTTATTGTTATGTGGACAGGTTTAGGCTCAGTGAAACACTGTGGTTGTCTAACAAGAGAGTTCCTTTATTCCCAGGAGCTGTGTGCCTGACATCAAGGTTGAGTCTGATAAGACTCTAGCACAGAGCCTCCTCATGCAGGAATTGCCATAGCAGCTAGACATTGCTACATGTATTTAGTTATTTTACTAGTTCATAAGAGAAACTGCAGGGCATTCTAAGGTTGGGAAACAGTGCCTGTTACCCCCTGGGAGTTTGCTCACCAGAAGAACACTTCTCTATATATTTCCATGGTCAGAATCCCTATATGAATCAATGTCTTGGAGATTTTCATTGTAAGTCCTAGCATCTAAATTGTCTGCAAAAACTACAAGAAAATTTTGAAAATGATTTTGGAGTAATTTTTCAATTTTTGCAACATGCTTGTGAGTTATAAATTAATAATACTAAGTAAATATAAAAGTGAATGAATTCACTTGAATAGACATAGTTTTGAAACTAATATATACATATATATATTATATATAAACTATTATATATATATTAGTTTCAAAACTATGTCTATTATATACATATATATGTATATATATGTACATATATGTTTTAGCATCAAAGATAGATGTGGTCTTCTAAAAATGAACAAATTTTGTCAAAGTGGATGTAGATATTAAAGGAAAATGATATTTTTGATACTTAATTCAGTTATTCAAAGGCCTCTTCAAGTAGATATGGAATAAGTAGATATGTGAAATTAATTTTTTTTTTAGTACCAGGGATTGAGCCCAGAGGTGCTTAACCGTTGAGCCACATACCCAGTCTTTTTAATTTTTATTTTGGGACATGGTTTTGCTAAATTGCTAAGGTTGGCCTCGAATCTGTGATCTCCCTGCTTCAGCCTTCTGAGTTGCTGGGATAATAGAGTGTGCCAATATGCTCAGCTGTAAAGTTACTGTTCAGCCGTAAATTTTATGAAATCTTAAAACAGATCAAGTGTTCCAATGTTTGAGATACACTCTAAGAATAAAACATGCACAAGATTTTGTAATCTTGGTACAAAAAGTAAATGTGAAATATGTTCTTAATAATTTTATATTGACTAAATTATGTTGAAATGTATAATATTTTACATATTTTGCTAAATAAAATATATAATCAAATTAATTTCATTTCTTTCTTTTTTTATATGTGACTACTCTAATACTTTAAATTACTCCTAGGCTCACATTATACTTCTATTAGACAATGATGAACTAGAGCTATGACAAAGATCTGTACAAAGAAACAATTAGGAAATCACTGTTACAATAAAGGGAGGAGAGTCATGGAAGAAAACCAAGTCACTCAGAGACAATGTGGGGCACAAAGAGAAATAAAATTTGTATATGTGCTTTTAAAAATTGAGCGCACCACTATCTCATGAAATCACAGCAGTCTAGAATGGGCACATCAGATAAAATGAGGTTGTATTTAATCCCCTCAAAGGTTATTCTCTTGACAAATATGCTTTTCTTGCAAATGACTTATTTCAGAAGGAAACCTTAAAGTAATCATGTGACTATAAAATACAGTAGTGCTGACAAATATCAGACAACTTATTGAACAAATCAATCATTGCAAGGATTGAGATTTCAACACATTGGGAAGAAAAGGAAAAGGATGACTAAAAACAAATCGGAGGAGTGGTTAATGAGCCCTGTGTTAACTATTATTGATCACTGCTTTAAACAGCCTTTGAATCAAGTAAGTTATATAGGTGTGTGTGTGTGTGTGTGTGTGTGTGTGTGTGTGTTTATGATGACAGAAAATTCTTACAAATATAGGTATTATGTTACAGGAACCATATCTCCTGAATCATTTTAGAATTCAAAGGCCCTAGGTACTTTTGCCTCAGGTATCTCTTCACCTAATTTGAAATTCAAATGTATTAAATTTCCAAACCTAAATATGACAAATTAGACATGGTCTGTGAAGTTAGTATTTAATGAGGTATGAACCTAGACTTTCATCTCCCCAGGAATAATTTCTTTATTACTTTTTTGTATTTTATTGCAATAAAGCACCATTTGACCTTCAAGTATGATAATTAGGCTTCCAAAAATGTTATAAATTTAGAGTGAAAATAGTTCTCCCTGTGTTCAGGAATATACTTATGACTAGTATAAAAGCTTACTTAATGTTTAAAGACAGCTAAATCACCCACGGAACCAGCAACATTAGCAATTATTTTTTTCTTCCCACCCTCTCTCATTTCCCACTTTGATTTGTGTTTTGTAACAACTTATCATCTTTTATATTCTAAAATAAATGGAATGGGAGCAAAACAAAAATATATCTTTATAATCCGGAAATAGAAAACTCTTTCAGATAAGATTCATTCTACTACAAACTGTCAATTATGACACCTTAGTGACTAAAACTTGTGATGCATTGTCTTACCATGCCCATTCCCGCATTTTGTCAGGGCAGATAGCCATACATTTTTTTTTTTTCAAAAAAATTACCTATGATGTGAATAAAAATTTTAAGTGAATAACCAGAATATAAAACAATATATCATTTGAATTGTTGGTGAATTTTTTAAAAATTGCTGTACAATTGTGTACTTTAAAAAATAAATTCTAGACCTTTTAGAACTGAAGAAATACATTTCCATAAATGGGACAGATGAGAGGAAAAACAGCTGGAAGCTGACCTGAAACCTGAGCACACGTGGCTTTTAAACAACATTCAGAAGTATAAAGCAGGAGAGAGATACCAGGCAGGAGGAGAAAGAAGAAGAAGAAGAGAGTGGGATAGTTCAGAGAGGGCCTTATACAATAGACTAAACTAGGGGCAACTGGGGAAGCTAAAGGATTTCAGGCTGGGAGTAGTGACATGAAGTCTGTGTCTAGGAGCAACGTAATGGATGGATGGAAGGCCTGCACTGCCCATCACCAAAGCCATTAAGCATGGGAAGAAGAGGGCTGGTTACAGAGATGCTAAGATTAAGTAAACTGATCTAGACATCTTGGGACAGGCATGC